TGACCATCATAGAAACCCCTCCCCCCTACACACACACCTGTTGCACACAGCATTCTTCTTTCTGGAATGGGAGTGATCAGAATTGTACGCAGTTTTCCAGTGGAGGTGTGATTAATGGGAGGGATACTACCCTTTTCTAGACATCCCAGCCATTCAGAAAACTAAGTTGACTATAAAGGGTTCCACCCTGAGAGAGTGGGTCTCCAGGAAGTGATGTCAGGGAATCAGTAAAGCCAACTGGAAGAAAGTGTGAGATTTGATCTCCCTGTGGCAATTTTTTGTGTGGCTGGAGGAGGAGGGAGAAAGAGGGAGAGAGAGAGAGAGAAAGAAATGGATTAAAACAGAAACCAGGCACGGAATTTCCAGCAATACTCAAGCCTAGAAATGACTGAACCATGGAACAACAAATATGTAAGTGAACAGGGAATGTTTAGTTAGACGTGATCAGGTTATTTTCTTTAGTTTTTGTTTTGTATAAGTCCTTTGGGCTGATTTATAAACAACTCATCTCCCCCATATACTGTAACTTTTAAACTAAATCACAGGAAAACAATTCTCTGTGCTTTTAATCTGCCTTGCTTCAGTTGCTCTGTAGCGCCTAGCAACCAAGTATGCTTTACCAAGGATGTCTTCTTTGGTTTGCTAATAAAATCACTTGTTTAAGACCATGATTTGATTCCTGTGTTCTAGAGGGCAGGAGGTTCTGTGGGCACATCCCTGAGATGGAAGGCCAGCTGTTAAGAAATTGTAGTTTGTTTCCAAGCTCTTTCCTGAAGGAGGGTTCAAGAGCTTGGGGGTGCCCCACAGGAAGAAATTCCCAAGTGTGTCTTCCTGGGTTTTCAAAGCAGTTTTTTTTGCATTTAGGAGCATCACCATGACTCTCCTACATTCTGTCAGAAATGCACTACCTGACTCTCACTATCACCCCAAGCCAACTCACATGTGCCATGAACACCAAGGCTACGTCTACATTGCAAGTTTTTTGCGCAAAACCTTTTGCAGCACGTCCACACCTCAAGCGCATTTTTGCACAAAAAAATCTACAGTCAATTGACAGAACAGAGGGCTTTTTGGGGGGTAAGTATACCTCCTTCTATGAGGCATAACACCTTTTTCCACTATAGCTTTTGTGCAAAAAGACAGGTGTGGACACTGCAGGGGGTTTCTTGCACAAAAAGAGCCTATAGGAAAAAGCCCAGGTGCTCTGATGGCCATTTCTGAATAGCCATCAGAACTTGCTTCTGCAAGAGCATCCATGCAGTGTGGACACTCTCTTGCACAAAAGCACATTGCTTGTGCGATGCGCTTTGAGGTGTGGATACATTTTTGCGCAAGAAGTTTTTGCGCAAGAACTCTTCTGCAAAAGACTTCTTGCACAAAAACCCTGCAGTGTAGACATAGACATACCCCTAAGGGATGGAGTCAGGTGGCTTTCAGTGGCCAGCGCCAAGTGCCCCAGAGGGGGTGGACCGAAGACAATGATCAAGCGATTTGTCTCCTGCCATCCCTCTCCAGCCTCTGACAAACAGAGGCCAAGGACACCATTTTATCCCCTGGCTAATAGCCTTTTATGGACCTAACCTCCATGAATTTATCCAGCTTCTCTTTAAACTCTATTATAGTTCTAGCCTTCACAGCCTCCTCTGGCAAGGAGTTCCACAGGTTGACAACACGCTGTATGAAGAAGAACTTTCTTTTATTAGTTTTAAACCTGCTACCCATTAATTTCATTTGGTGTCCTCTAGTTCTTCTATTATGGGAACTAATAAATAACTTTTCTTTATCAGCCCTCTCCACACCACTTATGATTTTATAGACCTCTATCATATCCCCCCTCAGTCTCCTCTTTTCTAAACTGAAAAGTCCCAGTCTCTTTAACCTTTAATGTTGTTTGTTCCTCTAGCAGGAAGAGAGATGGTAAGGTAAAGCTGTTTGTGTGTAAACAGTAAGGAGAACGTTAAGGCAGAGGACAATGGTTCCACTTAAGGGTGATAGTGAGACATTAACAAGAGATTGGTAAGAGTTAATAAGGAAATGAGGTACTTGACTGACCCCAGGTAACCTAGTCAGTTCACGCCCTTTTTCAATCCTTTGTCTGCTCTCCTCTTATATCTGTAAAAATAAGGTGACTTGGGTTTCTGTGGGGGGCTCACTTTTTATGGTTGTATTAGTGAAGCGCTTTTCTAATAAAACAGAGTGGTCTACAAAAATCGTGAGTCCTGAGTCTAACTTTGACATGTGGAACCCTGACACAGCTCTGACCTTAGGGTCTCCGAGTAGCTGAGCACCTTCACTGAATGTATCTTTTCACTACCATGGTGTGGCTGGGCTATTATCCACCTGTGCAGAGGCTCAGAGACAGCCAATGGCTTGTCTATTGTCGCACAGGACAAGAGAATCCAACCCACCTCTCCTGAGTCACAGAGCTCTTCTCAGACTTCAGGACCAACCTTCCAGCCATCCTTGGGATGACAGGCCTGGCAGGATGCTCTGCTGTCCTTGCAGAGCTCTCCTCTGCTCTGCAGAGATGGGGGAAGGCCAGGAGCCAGCTACAGCAGTGTGATTCACTGGCCTGTTCTTCCCCTGCCTCAGTGGAGTTTACAGCAGCCTGGGGGCTAGACTGACTTTCACATAATGGTAATAGTTGGTAACAGTTTTCAAGAGATTAGCACACTCTGGCCAAGTCACTGTGGATGAGTAACACCTCAGAGTGCCCCTTTGTGGCCTGAGGTAGCCCTCCAGGCTCCCTGTCCTTCCCTCTAATGTCCTTGGAATTACCGACTCTATGTTTGATATACTTGAAACAAGAGCCCCCTTTGTGGAGTCATGTTACATCCATCTTCTCCAAAACACAGGCTCCACAACCATCCAGCCCCTTCCTCAAATTTTACTTGGGAGTCCTTTCCCCTCCCCCTCGCACTGCTATCGTCACCCTCTGCTCCATCTTTTTTTGCTGACTCTCCCCCCAGTGTCCCATATCTTGCCACTAGGTCTTTCCCTGTGCTCTTCCATATCCTTCAAGACTCTGGCCTCATGGAGCCAGTGCTGGGCTTTGGTGAGAGCAACCCATGGACACAAGGCCACTCTGAGAGCCAGACTCTCCACCTTCCATGGGGATGGTTCCCTGGGGGCATGTCTACACTACAAAGTTAATTTGAAATAACAGCAGTTATTTTGAATTAATTTTAATAGTGTCTACACAGGCAAACCGCTATTTCAAAATAAATTCAAAATAATGGAGTCCTTATTTTGAATTTGGTAAACCTCATTCTGCGAGGAGTAACACCAAATCCGAAATAGCTATTTCGAATTAAGCGCTGTGTAGACACTTAATTCGAAATAGGGGGCCTCCAGCCCTTCCCAGGGAGCCCTGTTGGCCACTCTGGTTACAGTCAGGAAAATTACTCTCCTCTTCCCCAGCCCTGGAGCCATTAAAGGAGTAGACCCTGGCCACAGTGCCTGTGCCAGTTCCAAGCCCGCCAGCCCAGAGCCAGCAGTGGCCCTTGATCATGAGCCAGCAAGCCACTGGCAGCCAGCTCTCCACCACTCCCCAGGAGCAGTCTGCCAGCTCCCAGGAGCCTGACAGGGGCTGGAGAAGGCGGGCATCTTCCTGGTCCAGGGTGGAGATCATGAACCTTATTCAGTTTTGGGTGGGATGTCTCCAACATCCATGATCTCCACACTAGACGGAGGAATGCTGCCCTCTATGACAGGATAGCTGCCAGCCTGGCCACCAAAGGCCACATGCGAACCCTGGAGCAGGTTAGCATGAAAGTCAAGTTGTTCTGACGAGACTTCCAACCCTGAGCCCTGAGCTTCCCCTCCCTCTTCTTCCCCTTGCTTTCCTCTTCCAGTTCCCTCCTCCCAGATTTCCCCCTTTCCTCTTCCACCCTGTCTCTTCCCCTCTCCCACCTCCTTTTCCCAGTCTCCCCAGAGGTTCATCCCCC